CAGGAGGTTGAGGGGAGACCTTATCGCTCTCTACAACTACCTGAAAGGGGGGTGTGGCGAGGTGAGTGTTGGTTTCTTCTCCCAAGTAACTAGCAATAGAACCAGAGGAAATGGCCTCAAGTTGCACCAGGGGAGATTTAGACTAGATATAAGGAAAAATGTCTTTACTGAGAGAGTGGTCAAGCATTGGAACAGGCTGCCCAGGGAGGTGGTGGAGTCACCATCACTGGAAGTATTCAAAAAATGTGTGGACATGGCACTTCAGGATATGGTTTAGTGGGCTTGGTGGTGTTGGGTTGATGGTTGGACTTGTTGATCTTGAAGGTCTTTTCCAACCTTAATGATTCTGTGAAGATGCAAGTTCTGTCCCAAGAAGTTGTGCTACCAAGACTGGATAGGGAGGCCTCCAGAAGAACATACTATAGTGCTTCAGCCTCCCTGTGATTGTAGATGTTTCTTTGAAGTTGGTAGACTCATGCCTAAAAAATGCACTTTACAGTGAATGAAAAGCTGTATGTTCACACTGAACTGGAAAAGATACATAACCAAAGCAAGTTTTACTATCCTGAACCTGAAAATGTGGAAATTTTTATTCTTTTGCTTTCTCAAACTTCCTGAGAATCAGAAAAAGATTTTTCCCACCCTGGCTCTCTCAGAAAGATGAAGACAGACAACTTTCTTCAAGGCTCACTACTTTATTTAGGAGCTATTATGGACATAAATAATCTTATTTAAGAAAGATCAGAGCAGGGACTCAAGTACAGTATGCCAGAGAAATAGGCAAAAAAGACACATGCCCATGGCTCCTTGACCCACCTCTTGTTTAGCAAATAATTGCTTTGCCTTGCATCAAACTTAATTGGCAATTAGAGCTCTCAGAGGCAGCTGAGTTTGCCAAGAAAGTAAAAAATAAACCTTGTGAGAGATTCTGGAAGTTCTTAGGATTCCAGTTAGTTAGCAGCCTTAAAGGAGGACAGGATCCTCTGTTTCTGCTGAGGTTAGGAATGTTAAGGCTTCCTTTGAAGCATGGCATCTAATTCAGTGACCATAGCATTGATGTGGCTAAGGACTACCTTTCTTAAAGCACACAAGCGGCCCAAGTCAAGTTTCCCCTTTTGTAGAAAGCCAAGCACCTAGAACAAAAAGATCTCTCACAGCAATGGGGTTACAGGCTTCATTTAGGTATGGAACTTTCATCTGCATCCTAACCATTATTCACCCACCCCATTCCCCTTTAGAGTGAGACTAATCAGCTAGGTTAGCCAATTAATTCCCTGTTGTTAATAGAGCAGCTTTCGGGTTTCTGTGATGCTGAAGTTAAATGATAAACGTTCTAAATGAGAATACGACAAGACACTACACTGAGAAGTTTAAACTCTAAACCCTGAGAGAGATTCCATAACCAAAACCGACATCATTATCTTGTTTGTCTGGAAAGAGAGATGGCAACTTTTTAAGCTCTTGGGCCCATTGCTGCACTAACAATATAGCCAGAGACCAAGACCATCTTTCCAGAAGTGTAGTAGGTCCATTCCCAAAATGTGTAAAGCACATGTTCAGCAAGGCCAATATGGAATCAGAAAAGGGCACCTGACCATCAGGAGTATCATCTGACTGCCTCACGGTGCCAACCCATGCCTCAGCCAAGGATTCTGCCAGATGATTGCTACCTTTTTACGTCAGAGCTAGCTTTGTTAGTTCAATTCCTAATCAAGTTATAAGAGGTTGCACAAAGAAACAAAAAATGGAAAAAGAAAAGTAAAGTTTCTTTCTGAATAAGAGCTGTGGTGTGAAGACAGTGAATAGTGATAGATAATATATTCTTGAAACACAGAATGTGTTGCAAATGCACTTTTACATCTGTAAATCTCAAAAGAATAAACACCTCACATTAATGCATGCAGAAATTGTTTACTACTGTTCAAAGCCGTTATTTTTTTTATTTATTCCATCTTACAAAACAGATGTAAGCAACTTCATCAGATCCACTCATTTAATACTTATAGAAAATTGGTTCAAAAGACATGACTATGTAGTGCTTCAACTGTACAGATCAAGAATATGCTCAGTTTGCCTGTTTTCTTTAAAAGTCAGGTGTACACTCAGCAGCTGGATAGCTGGTATAAAGGGAAGATACCCCCTTGTTTTGAAGCGGCACTGATGGATTACTAAGGTCATACCAACACAAATATTGCCTGAATTTGGCCTATTCATGCTAGGGTAGAAGTGTTAGCCATAAAGATGAAGACTGAAGCAGTGATATTGCAGCTCATCCTTTCCACTGCCAGAGCTTAATAAAACATATCCCTTCACATTTCAGTCCCAATTCTGTACCAGAGCAACGGCCTCACATCTGCCACAGAGTCCCCACAGCAAACCAGTTGCCCACCAGCACCAGTTCAGATGTTGCAAATCAACGATTTGGACACATGCTGAATGTCTTATTAAAACAGATTTCTTCTGGTCTCTGCAGTGGAAGATGTTCAACACACACTCCAGAAGAACAGAGTTTTCTGCGTTTAAGAGTTCTGCAGCTGCTGTTTACTTGTGATTTACAGTCTGAACTACACTCAGCACTTAGGCTTCTCTAAATGTGTAACTGATCTTTGCATGTGCAGTTTTCAGTGAAAAGTCACTATTGGCTCACAGGCTTCCTCTTCCTTACTTTCACTCCACTATTACTGGTACATACAAGATTCCTTCCACACAGAACAATCCACTGACTTGTCTTAAGTGTATGACTTGCTCCCCACCATGCTTCTGAAATAAGATGGCCTTGAAATTGTGACCTGTTACAAAAACCAATTATAAGAATTAAATTAAAATGAAAATTCTCATTTTGCGCTGCAAAGCTCTCTCCAAAGACTGCGCTGGAATGTTTGTATGCAGTCTCAAATTAACAAGATTTATGAGAATATGCTGCATTAGCTAAGCCATCTTTTACAGCATTGCTTTGCAAGCAGGCACAGGCTGCCCAAGTGCTATGAAAGACTCTTCCCAGTAGAGATTTCACAGTTAGATAAAGAGTTTTACAGAGTCAACACACTAATTTTGAACAGAGAGGGCCTCTAACATGTCAGCATAAACTTCAACTGCTGATAATTCAGATATCAAAATTACTTGAATCTCATTTTAAGCAAAAATTGGCTAATTTCATTTTTCACTGAGTACCTGCCACTGTATATAAAAGTAGCTTTCTCCACACCTCTGACATCTGCCAGTACTGATGAAGCCACAGCCAGCTTAAGCTGCACAACACATTCAGACATCTTCAGCTAGTTTCTTTGATTAGGAAAATATGAAAGCATTAAACAATTTAAATGATGCATCATGCCCATGTAAGCATTAAGATTTTTTTTTTCCCCCCAGTCATCTGGGTCCAATTAGGTTTCTTCAACTAACTCTTATAATATCAGGATGAATCTTACAAATACTTATTTTTGATATTGTAATGAGACACAGAAATTTTCCTGTAAGACCTGGTTTGTTTTTTTTTTTTTTTTTTTTTTTAAAGTCTTTTCAAGAAGAACAGAAGGATCCCATGAAAATACTAGCATAAGATTTTTGGTAGCTCATACGCAATCAGGTGGTAAATGCAGACAAAATTTCTCAAAAACAAGTCAAGCTAATTTCTACCAATGTAACTTCCATTTACAAAGCCTTCGCCTTGATTTTAGCAAGGCTTTTGTCTTCTGTTTGCAAATACTAATTAAAAATTTAGATGAAATCGGGTGGGTGTGCACTCCTAAGTAAGCCCCACTCAGACTGTCAATAATTCAACTGGCAAACTGGAGATATGCATCAAATGGGAGACCCAAAAGCAGCTTGGCTTACATCTAGAATACTGAAGGCACACACTTTGAAAATATTAGAAAACATGGGTGATACCAAGGTGGGGAGGCCTTGAAGCATACTGGGGAACAGAATGGGAATTCAAGTTAAGATAAGTCTGGAAAAAGCAGATGCAATTCAAAAGAAAAGCAGGAATCGTGTTTAAAAACCTCTCCATTTATTTAACTATGCAAATAGAGAACGTAAACAACTACCCTTGCTTTGTGGTACTGTAGGAAGTGTCCGAAGGATATAACAGATCACAGACTGATTGCAAGTCAGCAACATATTCAATATAAATAGGAATACTGTGTTAAGAAATGTTTTTCACTGTCCCATTTAAACCTTAGCTGTGGCCTGCATCCTTCCAGACTTCCACACTTCCAGGAAGATATAGGCAGTTTGGATCTGAGGAGCAGCAACAAGACAAATGTAGGTAACAATGTTCAAGAAAAGGGTGAAGAACTGAATTTGTCTTAACAGGATAAAACTAAAGGGGCCGGTAGCAGTCCTCAAATATACTGAAGGTACCCAACGGCAAATGAAAGTTTACCCCTTCTTTTTACCAACATAGCCCAAGAGTAGTTTAGCATGTGAAAATGTCCTCCAGCAGCAAACCTTTAAGGTGCTTAGAAAGGCTGTCGGAAGTGTTATGAGTTACGAGGGTGTAACAAATCCTGTATTTAGAGGCAGAGCACTGAATTAGATCACCTCTCATGGTCATGATCTTCCCAGCTATATTGGCATTTACCCAACACAACCAAAATCTGACCCTAAAATTAACTCCTTCTACAGCAATGAAGCATAAAACAAAATAAAAGACCATCCACACTTCCTAAATGCTAGAACTCTCACTTTTTCCATTCCGAGACTTTAAACATTTGAACAGCTGACAGCTTCACTGTAATAATGTAAGAACTGGTACAGAAACTGAATATGGATAATTTCCAAGCAATACACTGGAGTAAAGCAGTACTGTTCTGCTGTATTGAGCTTAAAGAGTTGGAGAGTAAAACTAACATTAGAATCCACAGTTAGTAATCGACAAATTTACAACTTTTCTACATGAGTGTGGGGCCATAAAGCAAAAGCTTACAGCAAAATATTTAGCCAAGACAGCAAAGTATTATTAGCAAAATAACACAGTTGATAAACAAAAGCAGACTCACCTTCCGCAATTCAATTGTAACTTCATTTCTATGTCTTCTCATAGTCTGTAAATAAAAAATAAAAAAGATTATGTAAAGAAGTGTTTTATTTTGGAACTAGTTGTTTCTAGGTCAAAAGTGCAGCTATTCAAAAAGATAAGGAAAACAGCATGTGTAATTTACAAGTCAATCTTTCCTAGCAAGATGCATGAGGGGTTTTTTGTTTTGGGTTGTTTTTTTGGTGGGGTTTTTTTTGTTGTTGTTTGTTTTGGTTGGGTTTTTTTAAGATTATACACTTTACAGAAAACTTTGTCATAAACCACAGTAACTACCCAAAGGCAGGAAACATTGACTTCACCATAGAGTTTCAATGGAATGACTCTCCAAGTGTTCATATGTGCACATGAAAAGAAGAAGTAAATACAGGTGAGACAGTCTCACATTAACATAGGATCACATTCACAACCTAAACACATAACCTATGCCAGTTATCTGGCCAAAATCAACCACAAGCGACAGAAGCTGACTGAGCTCAATGCAAACAAGACAGATTAAGCTTGTGGCAAAAGGAAACAAAGTACAGTGGCACTGAGTCTACTTAGGATCTATAGCCTAAACACTGTAAAGGCAAACCAGCCCTAAACATCTCAGCTCCTTAAAGATACTGGTCACTCAGGATGCATTCCCTACAATGCTGCTATACCTCTTAGCTAAAAGAGATCAGAAGATTGAGAAAGAACAATTTTAGCCCAGTAAAGGCAATCTCCCTAGGTTCATTTTACAATCACTGGAAAAGACATGTACCATCACAATGCAATTCAGAGAAAATCAGGACTGGGTGACTGCTGGCAGCCTAGAAAGATCACCAACACTGACTAAAATTAGCCTTTTAAAATACTTTCTATGTTCTATCCTTGCTAGTGACCTTCACTGCTGCTATCACGTTCCTTTTGAGTTAAGGCAAATAACTTCCCTAAGCTAAAAAGTATCAGTGAAGACCAGCAGTACACAGAAAACACCAGCACTCCCCATCAGCCACCTAAGGAAATACTGAACATGCTAAAGCTCAAACATGAGTAAATGAAATAAGCAGACTTCACACCGTGAATCTATACAGGACGTAAATTCAGTGCTTAGAACATTATCTTAGCTTCACTGTTCTTGCCCAGTTTGCATAGCAGTATTCATTTAATTATCTTAGGCTGACTTGAAAGTAAGGAAGGCTTGTCTTCCCCTCCACTGCTTGATTAACCAACTCAGAGACACAATTCTTCTTTTACATCTACACACGTGAACTGTATTACTTTAAACAAAGCAAGTCCTCACTGCAATAAGAGGACAGTAGCACTACATCATCAACGAGAACTACACTTTTCTTCCCCCTCATTATTTTGCTATATTATTTGATTCTTGTGACCATCTGAGCCTACTGCAAAAGCTCAGTATGATAGGACTGGGTTGATGGGGAATGGGAGGGCACTGAGTAGGTAGGGAATAGAGAAATGAAGAACCTGAAAAGTTATTGCATGCAACTAGCAAGACCAGTCATTCAAGTTTCTTGTTATATTACAATTTTTGTATTTGAATTATCTTAAAAACTACATCACATTTATGGGCATTAAATAGCCTAAAAATGTTTTTCAATACTTCTTCCCCATGATAACTGTATTTGAATGGAAAAATGTAGATAGACAAAGCTGTCTTAGATTTCTGCTATAAAAGTTCCTTTTCTTGATCATTCCAAATGTGCTAGACATCAAAGACCTCCATAGAACTTCCCACTAGTAACAACTCCCTACTGCACCCTAAAATCTAATCTTTTATTGCTACTTATCTTAAATTTGAACAGGTACCCCATCACAAGACAAATTAGTTAAATTGAGTGTCCATTAGCATTTTCTCCCCAAAATCCAGTATTGTATGTGCCAAATTTGAAATCTCAGATTTAATGGATGCAAGGCACAATTTACTTCAAAATTTGCTCCCTAGTTACAATTTACTCCTACTTTTGTTCGTTTATCTATATGATGATACTCTAGAATATTTTCTATTGAGCAGAAAAGTCAGACCAAATCTGAAGTTTTTTTAGGGGACAACCATAATATTTGTGACCTACCATTCCTCTGGAAGCAAGGTAGATTTAAGAAAAACTAAATGTTGTGTTCAACAGTCCAGCAGCTTAATATTTTTGGGTTAGAAAAAACCAAATACACTGCAGTCCCAGGCAAAGCATTACTATTCCCTTTGTCAATTTACTCTAAAAACTCCTCTAACAATGCTTTGACCAAAGACAGTTACTCAGAGTCATCCATCCATAAAGGCACTACTGGGAAGACTCTAAGCTTCTTTCTAAAAGCAAATAACTCAGCTTTTCAATTAGGGTTTATCTTTGTTTCATACTTTCATTATTTCAGCCCCACTGATCCTACTCTATTGCAATTCTGTCTCTATTTTTTTACTAGTTTTTTGCTTTTATCAAACTGATCTTCAAAATATTTGACTACTCCATTCTGGTCTTATATTTAATGTGCAATAATCTCATCTTTTCCTCATTTAGAAAGCTACCACTCTTTTGAAAGATTCTTCAAAAAGACTGTCAACTACATGGACGTATTTGCTGACTAGCATACATTTTTTGAGCTTTAAACACATGTCTTAAGGCAATCTCCATACTACCTGGGTCTTATCCTTTTAGCTGTTCTTTTATACTTCCCTCTAAACGCACTATATGTAGTTTTTCTTTCAAAGCAGTCCTGGTACATTTTCTTTTTTTTTTCCTTTCTCCTTTAAAAGATAGAGTACGCAGTACTCATCACTAAGTCCAGAGCTGCTTCTCCATTCACAGAGCAAGCAGACTGATAACTGGGGATATCACTTAGCCTCAGCTTCACAGAACTGGTAAGTATTATCTGGCCTCAGCTGAACTAAAGGCTCCCAGTCTTGCAGAGCCTTCTGCTGGCACAGCATCTTTAAAAATTCAGCATGCTGGGGTCACCAGGATCATCCAAGAATCCATAGTACAGTGTTACAGCTAGAGCCTTCCTACAAGTATATGGGACTGAAGTTCCCAAAGAGCCTATCGCGCATTCCGGCAGTTAAACTTGGTTGCCACAGTTGGATCATGACCGGTGCTCTCAGCTAGATATATGCTGACATTATTTCTAACTTGATGATAATAGTGTTCCACTTCATGTCCCTGACACACGAGATGACCATTGCATACCAATATATTTAAGACCACAAATTCCACTTCATATATGTCAATTGTTCCAATTATAGACTGTACATGAAAAACACAGATATGCCAATTGACACTGGCCCGATTTCTTAGTTTTATGCCTGCTACTTAATTGGAATTTGTTCCCCATCTTGATTTTCTCCTCTTTACCACAGGAGATGATACACTAGGGATGGACTGCTCTATGATAAGACCTCTGAATGTCTGCAATTTGGCTATCCTTGCCTTGAGAGACCATACTCTTAAGACCATAACCATGCTTCAACCTCATCTGATTACAGGAAATGCAAGTATACATATAGCACCATGCTATGTAGACTCTCCTGCTGGGCTTTTGCAAGCTTTATTTTAAAACTTGCAGACTGATAAGCACAATTTCTAACCTTATCTGGGGAAGGGGGTGTGTGGCATGTCAGCAAAGCCCAAATTTTATTCCCCAAAACCCAAACTTAAATGATCCAGTTAATATTTTGTCCTGATTTGACATTTCTTAAGAGGTAGGTATTTAAAGCTTGTGTTTCAGATGAAGCATTATAGAAATACAGCAGGTAATCAGCACCTTCCTACAGCCTCAGAAGCAAACATACTATAATCCAACAGTACATAAAAGATGCAGTCTTAAGAACCACTGCAAGCCTCCCTTTAAAGAAGCATTACCACTGTAAGCCAAATACCACACTTTTATACTACCTGCAAGCCCCAGCATGCAGGGAACTGATAGGCATTTGCAAGAGATTTATACAGTATTAGAAAGGTTAAACATTTTCCCCAGCTAACACAGGTGAGCTAAAACTGAGAGAAGAGACAGTTATTCTGCAACTTAACCTCACAGATTCATTACTAGCTTTCAGACTGAGAGGACAACCATCTGCTACGGTCTATAATATATGCAAAAGGAGTTGAAGCCTAGCGAGATGTTACCAGTGGATCTAATACAGTGTTTGACATCCACAGCATCTGACTATGGTCACTTCTCAGCTTAATCTACTCAAACAAATAATTTCATGTCACACTGTAACAGTACATCTCAAAACTACCCCCAAGACAAATCTCAACTGTTTCACTGAATAAAAAAATAAAATTAAAAAAAAAAAAATCAGACTCTGAATCTCAGAAAGGAAAAACTCTGCATAGGCAAAATCCTACAGATGACAAAACTGATGACAGTTTATTCCTGCAGCATCTGAACTGTGAGGCCGCTGCTAAACACAGAGGTATTAATGCACCATACGCAAGGTGCAGGAAGTAAAAATTGCGGATAGTAACCATCAGCCAGCATGTACTATTAAGAAACAAGAACACAACAACACTTACCAAGTTGTGCTACAACAATACATCTCCAATTGTTACACATGACTCAAGTCAGACTTAAGTTCATAAGGCCTTTCTAACAAAAGATTTCTTCTCCCCAGTTCACCATCTGTGAAGAACAATTACTTACCAGTGTGTTTGACAGGCCGAAATAACCACAGTAATGCACCAAGTACCGTTAAGTCTTGTAACAAGCCAAAAGTAGACATTCAGCAATATTTCTAATTTCAATTTCCCAATTTTGTTATTTTATAAGATAAACTAGGAAACAAACCCCAAAATGATGCTAGATGCTGTTAGATAAACTGTTGTTCTTGCTTCTACACTGAATTTCTGAATACCCTTCCAAAGCCAGATACCAAGTGTCATGTGCCAAGAACCACTTCCTAATATCTTCCACTTGAAAGAAAAATAATCCCTAGTTCCATCAAAGTATCAAAACTGAAATTAATTTTATATGTCAATAAAGAAAATCACTACACACATTAGGGCTGTTATGTTAAAGGCTGCAAGGGAA